GAGAGAGAGAGAGAGAGAGAGAGAGAGAGAGAGAGAGAGAGAGAGAGAGAGAGAGAGAGAGAGAGAGAGAGAGGGCTGCTCCTGGACCTGCTCAAGCGCGGCTAGAGTGTGTTCGGCGGCCTCTGGGCCCGTCGGCCCGCCGGCCCGGCCAATGTCAATGTCCTGTTGCCCTGTGCCCAAATACGGACGGACGGACGGGCGGACCGCACGCACACGCGGAACGGCCATACTTCTTTGTCACGCGGACGCGCGCTAGGCGGACGGACACACAGACAGACGGACGGACGGACAGACAGACAGTACCCGAACCGAGAGATCACGGCCCAGGAACAATCAGTCATCCACTTGTCGGCCGCTCGTTGTGCGGAGAAGGCTCTCGTGTTGTTGTTCTAGTTGTCGGTGCGCAGTGCGGCGGCGTAGCGGCGCAGCGGTCCAGGGAGGCCTTCGCAGGGGCGGAGCCAGAGACCAGGGGGTTGTCTCCATTCAGGGGGAAGGTGTGATCATCCCTATGATTGTCAATTCAAATCCCCCCAATAAAGCATTTCATAAACTAAAAAAAAAACTCTCTCTCTCACACACACACACCTCATGCGGTACGCCCCTAGCCCGACAACAATACTTCCTCCAAATAACCAGCTCATTTTTTTCCAGTGTGGGACGAGTTGGACTGGCGGCGCGGCCGATCTTCGTGTCGTGTTCCTGGCCAGCAGGTGGCGCTGCTTCGGCTGCTTCGGCGCTGCCACGCTACCAGTGGCGCGGCCGCGGGGAAAACCCACCCACTCCGACGCGCGTGGAATTGCTGAGAATTCCCTATACATGTAAAAAGGCGAGCGACCAAACTACTAATCAGAGTCTCGCACTCTCTAAGGCTGATACAAAACCCCTGCAAACCAACGAGTAGGCAACCCGCCAAGCGGAGCTGTCCTCCACTGCAGCATTGCCTACCCACCATTACCATTACCATTAAGGGCTAAGTGGGCGCTGGCGGCGTTCGAAGCGGCGCCAAGCACTTGGCCTAGGCCAGCGGGACGCCCAGCCCAGCCTAGCGCACGCGGACGTCGCTGCCGTGGGAAAATGCAAAGACGACGTGAGAAGAAATTCCTCCGGCAGACTGATTCCGGGAGTCGTCTTCGTCGCTCTGTCTCTCTCGCACTCCCGAGAACGCCCCGCGAGTGCGAGAGAGACAGAGAGCGATTCTCGGAATGAGTCTGTGACTGGAAAACGGCGTCAACTGGTGCGCGGAAAGGTGCCGCGTGGAAACGGCCACCTCCACGGCGAAAAAAACAAAAACAAAAATAAAAACAAAGGAGAGAATAATAGACCAGGTGCTTTTCCGTCCGCTGAATAAGCGACGCCCACTTAATCGCGGTGCTATGCAAGAGGTGCATGCGGAACCCGCCGATTTCTATCGGGGCGGTCCCATAAACCAAGGGGGGGGGGCACCAATGGATGCTCTCCGAACGAGGAATCCATTCGTGGGGTAACGCGCTCGCTTCGAGTCCCATTTAGCGACTCTGGAGCTCGAAACGCGTCTAGAGTTTTGTCCGCCTCCACCGGTGTTCTGGCCCACTGTGCGGCCCTGCTTTGAGGAGGCCCCCTCCCCGCCCCAGCGACGCCCGGCCAGCACAGCCAGCACGACGCGGTGTGGTGGCCGTGGCGGCTTGACGCGTGTGGCGGTCGGCTCGTCGCCGCGGGCAGCACTCCGCCGGCGTAACGCCCGCCCGGCGGGTAGGCCGGCGGCGGCAGAGGCGCGCGGGGCCGCCGCGTAGGCTGCCTACCCGCCGGGCGGAGCTGCCGGCACGGCCAAGGCGAAGCCCACCCGGCAGGAGGGGGCCCCTACCTATGCCTGCCTGTCTGTCTGTCTCGGTGCCTCGCACATCTGCCGGGGTGTCACCCTCTTGACGCAAGGAGCTGCCAATAAACACTTGAGCACCGGAAGACGAGTGGAAAACGTAACCTGTCGCAGACGAGCGAAACGTCACAACACAGCTGACGAAGGTGATAACTTATTCGATAGTGTCTCTATTTGTTCTGCTTTCTAAGGGTTTTTTTTTCTTTTCGCTGCCACAGAAGTGTAGCCATTGGCCTTATATACTTTCCTTTACAGGCCAGGTGACAGGGAAGAGAGGCCTGCCCGCCTTCTTGACTTACAAGCTCGCCCGCGACAAGTTAGCCAGCCAGCCCGTCGGGGCTGGCGGGGCTGGCGGGGCTGGCGGGGCTGGCGGGGCTGGCAGCAGCCCGAGGCAGGCAGCCAGCCCGGCAGCCAGGCGTTCTTCCTTTTCCCCAATGCATCCGAAGCAAAGACAAGAGCCGTACAAGGCAGCCATCATCGCTTCGACTTTCTCCCTCAGGAAGCAACAATGTGTCTATGTCACAAAGGAGTCATCCGTGCCGCGCGTGCCGCCACGGCCACCAACGGGGAGAGCAGGGAGAGCGTACGCATGTCGGTGCGAGTCCCATCGGAAGCAGTGACAACAACAACAATTAACGATTATGAAAATCCGATGCGTCTTCGGAGGTCAAGTGGTCACGCGCGAGGTCACAGTGCAGTGTCACGAACGTGACGAACGCGACGCGCGCGCGCGTGACGCAGACGAGAAGAAGCAGAGGCAGCTCCGTTCAAAAAAACGGACGGTACTTTTACAGCATTCTCCTCTTTGTTGGACTGGTTTGGAGAGGAGAGGCCGCCCGCGGCCCGCTCACACGTAAAGCTGCCGAAAGGGAGAGAGACAGAGAGAGAGAGAGGCACGCCACTTTCGATTTCGATTCGCATTGTTCCGCTGCACACGGCCGGACGCACCTGCACACGGCGAAATCTTGAGCCAGTCTCTGCGCTTCGAAAAACCGCCGGCAGTTTACATCACAGCACAATCAGGATTTGTTGAGAGTCCCTTATTATTGACCGTTAGTTTTTATGTCAATGGGCATCCGCCTACTATGTAAAAATTAATAAGGTTAACCAGTTGAAAAATTATATTGGCTCACCTAATTTTTTTTCTGCATGATACAGGCTTTAAAAAAACTTAAACTACCCACTGGTATTTCTTTATAAACCAAATGAGGCAAACTCCGTTCATTTTAAAATTCATTTCGTCAGAAAATGAAAAAAAAACAATCGACAGCTCGGGTTGTAAGGTGTGCTGGGTTTGCGGCTGCAATCTGCAACATCTCCGACAAGGGCAATCATTTCCGCAAATTTACCCGCGCGTGTTCGCTTAGAAAGCTCCAGCACCTCTCTGTGTGCGCGTATTAGAACGTGCACCGACATAGGTTTGCACTCGCGGGCAGGGAGGCATGCAAGTGGGAGTGCAAATGCACCCGCCGACATGCGCGCCCATCTGGGCCTTTAATTCACAGCGAGTTATACACAGTCGGGAGCACTGCGACACGCCTTATTTGGCCGTGAACGCAAGGCAACGATCAAATTACACCTAGAAAAAATGCAGTTTCTAGAACTAAAAAATGTTTTCAAAATTATAAGAAGTCAGTGTCGTGCGTCGCTAGTAGTCGCACGAGGTGACGCGGGCGGCATCCAAAAAAAGACAGAACGACCGAGCGATTCAAATATTACGTAACGATTGGCGCGTTATCAGTGTGGACGGCAGGTGGACGTGACGGCTGCATAGCGCAGCGGCGCGGCGTGGAAGTCAAGTGGATTTCCTTTGGGGACGCCGCGCGGCCAGGCCATGCTGGCAGCCAGGCCGTCGTGCCGCCGGCCGCCGCGCCGCCAGACCGAGCTGGCAGCCAACCGGCTCGGCAGTAAAGCCAAAGGTCGACGAGGTCGGGGCAGCACAGCATTGCATGCTTTGTCGCGAGACGAGTGGATTGAAATGACCAAAAAGGAATAAGCAGTATCAAACAAGTCGGTCCGGACTGCACTGCCAACAAATTACCCAGAGTCGAATCGACGGAAAGGACGTTTGCTTACTTTTGTTGCATCGATCGTCAAGTACGCGCGCAACGAGCGGAGTATCTTCGGGCAGCGCAGCGGGCCAATGACGACAAGTTACGATTTTGTTTCTAGTGGTAGGTTAATTTCCCGGCGTTTCCGGCAAAGCGTTGCCCAACTCGGAGCCGTCACTGCCGTCAGCCGGCCAGTGATGGAAGAGTCACTAATCCCGCCGAAAGTGTGTTATCTGTGACAGTGGAGGTGAACACGTGCAACGCCTGTCTGGCGCCTTGACAGACAAAGCCAGCACACTCCACCAAAAAAAAATAGGAAGGAAAAAAGTTTTTCCGTGCTGCAAATTCGACTAGTGTCCGACGACTGCGCCGCGATAGCCAAGTTCGTGCCGCGCAGTGGGCGAGGCAGCGTGAAAGAACACGGTTGCCAATAAACAAAAACAAGAAACGACCTCAGCGACGACAATAAACTAAGGCGTTGTTTATGTTGTTTGCTGAATCCTTGGCCTGCCCTTATCCAGATTCGGCAGTCCGGAAGCCGAGCAGCTTCGCGCCACGGCAGCGAACAACAACAACAACCAAAGCAGCAGCAAAAACAAGGGGCAGGAAATTGGCGAGTAGTGCGTGCGTCTTTCGTTCACGCATGTTGGAAAACGAAAAGGGACGACGGCAAACGTATGGCGGACACGACTGGCCCATGGACTTTACGCGCTTTGTTGCTCGCAAGCGCCTCGAGCTAGCAGTGGGGCATTACACACACGCACACACACTGACGCGTGCCTCCGGGGGGCAAGTTTTGCGTGGGGCTTAGGATCGCGCCGAGCAACAACTGGTTCGCTGCCTAAAAGGGTCCCGGCCGCCCTGCTGTCGAAACGGCCAGACGCTGTCGGGCCCAGCGGACTGATGTGCCGTGTCTCCCTCGCACTCGAGGGGCGTCCCGTGTTGGTGCGAGAGAGGCAGGGCGACGTGAAAGACTCTGCGGGCCAGCGACCGGCTTGACGTGCCCGACGTGCTGGTCGTGCGGGGCTTGGTTTCCACGGGGGCACACCAGGGCACGCCCCGCGGCGCGCTTCTAGAAGGTGACTGTTGGTACTCACCATGGTGCTGCAGCTGGTGCAGGTGGTGGTAGTAGTGGTGGTGGTGGAGGATGCACTCCAAGTCGGTGCAGTTCAACATGGCAGGGTGGCAACACTGCCGTCCAGTGCCGCCCGCGCCTCATCCGAGTCGGTTGGCAGCACTGACAGGGCGACACCTGCGATTTCAACGGCCGCCCAGCTCCTTCATGTTGACGACGACGGACTCCGTGGACATGGCGGCCGCGAGCACCCCGTCGCCGCCCCCGCCTCCCCCGGCCTGCGCGCGGGCAGCGTCCTGCAACAGAGGAAGAAAACAGGTGAGCCACTGATACGGAAGAGTCTCGGACATGGTTCACAGTTTTCCCCATCCAGAACACTTACACTAGCATAACCTAAAGTAAGGTAGCCGAAGCTTGTACTTCCAAACCTAACCAATCCTACATGCTTAAAATTTTCAGAAACTCGCTTCAACGCCGAAAACACCTAAATTGCCACTTTACTGTGCTTGTCGCTTCCAAGTTTGATGTACTCTATCTCACGGAGGCGAGTCGTTCAAGCGTCGGCCGCCCAAGGACTGGTCAAGGACCACCCCGCCGCTCCGGCGAGCCGTTTGGCAGCGTTTGAGTTGGCTGCCTGACGGCCGGCCTGTGTGGGCCTCGGCCTCATGGGGCCGTCCCGAAATCACCAAAACACACTGAAACCATTTATTCGCGCGGCTGAGCCAGCATTACCTAGAACTAAGCTAGCCTGGCCTACGTTCAAAGGAACCTTGCATGGACTTAATGTAACCCAACCCCACCTAACCTCTCCGTTAGCTCGTGTTTGCCTCTGGTGGCCCTTCGCTCTGCCGGCTCTGCCTCCGCCGCGGCGCCACGCCACTGGAATCCCAGAACCGCGACTCGCCAATGAAAGTGTGTCGCAAAAGAGTTTCGTCCTTGTCTCCCCTCCGCCTAGTCTGCCGACCGGCATGCCGCGCTCCTCTCCGCGAATCTGCACTGTAATGAGCTCCCCGTCAACACACACACTGTGAAAACACTGTCGAACGCTCCAGAAAAGGGCAAGCTGACACCTCAGAAGTGTCTTGTACTATGACTACGGGTATGTTTTTTTAAGGTATCATCTGCTAAAAAAAATCGTACTTTTCCGTTTTTTGTTGTAGTGAAGGCATCACCTCACTCAGGGGTCGGAAACGGCCTAGGGAGCGCGTGAGCCCGTGCGCCCCACCGCTGCCGACGCGCCGCGCGCGGCGGACCGCTCTGCACGGCGGTACTAAAATCGACAGAACTTTGTCAAAACTTCATCAAATCGATCAAACGAGGTCATTTTTGGATTCTACACAAAATTTCCTATCGATTACAAACAATGGTTTAGCGTTTCAAGTGTTTAAAACACGTTATTTTTCAATTATAAGTCAATTTTACCGGCAACCGACAGCCGACTTGATATTTCTCATTCGCTTAAAAAGTGATTTCTGTTTGTTTTAGGTCCATACATGCAGCGAGCCGATTGTTGGCCATAGTTTACTCTGTGGCGTGGTGTGTTTGGAATGTTGATACGACCTCTGGGGCGACCACAGTGATCCAAAACGTAACTTGGACATTTGGTACAAAATTGGTTTTTGCAACTTTGGAGGTTAAAAGCACAGCTTGTAAAATCACGTTTGTCATGTTCTATACGCCTAAGCCACCCAGAATTTTATTCTCTATCGCCCTGTGGTAAGCGTTTTGCGAAAGGAGATCAAACTTCAGATATCTCGCAAAAGTTCCGAAACACTACGAAAACGCCGTAACAGTACAAGCAAACGGGGGAGCTTAATGTAAACAAACTATAGCTCGGATTGAAAATCTGACACCACCACGTTGTAGCGCGGACAATTTTACAAGCCATAGTCTAAGCTCATCGCAATCGGACCATCGGTTCGAAAACAGCAGTATATATTCTAAAAGACAGATTTAACGTCGGGTTTGGTCAGGCGGCGGCAGTATGAGAAATTACTGTGGCGGCGCACTGAACAGGGGTTAAGAGATTTGCTCGCTACGTTCAAACCGATGGTCTGATTGCGATGAGCTTAGACTATGGCTTGTAAAATTGTCCGCGCTACAACGTGGTGGTGTCAGATTTTCAATCCGAGCTATAGTTTGTTTACATTAAGCTCCCCCGTTTGCTTGTACTGTTACGGCGTTTTCGTAGTGTTTCGGAACTTTTGCGAGATATCTGAAGTTTGATCTCCTTTCGCAAAACGCTTACCACAGGGCGATAGAGAATAAAATTCTGGGTGGCTTAGGCGTATAGAACATGACAAACGTGATTTTACAAGCTGTGCTTTTAACCTCCAAAGTTGCAAAAACCAATTTTGTACCAAATGTCCAAGTTACGTTTTGGATCACTGTGGTCGCCCCAGAGGTCGTATCAACATTCCAAACACACCACGCCACAGAGTAAACTATGGCCAACAATCGGCTCGCTGCATGTATGGACCTAAAACAAACAGAAATCACTTTTTAAGCGAATGAGAAATATCAAGTCGGCTGTCGGTTGCCGGTAAAATTGACTTATAATTGAAAAATAACGTGTTTTAAACACTTGAAACGCTAAACCATTGTTTGTAATCGATAGGAAATTTTGTGTAGAATCCAAAAATGACCTCGTTTGATCGATTTGATGAAGTTTTGACAAAGTTCTGTCGATTTTAGTACCGCCATGCAGGGCGGTCCGCCGCGCGCGGCGCGTCGGCAGCGGTGGGGCGCACGGGCTCACGCGCTCCCTAGGCCGTTTCCGACCCCTGCCTCACTCGAGACCATCTGCAGTAGGCTACTTGTAAGGAACTTACAGCACTACCCACACACTCCACACCTTTTATGATCCAAGTACCCATGTTTTTTTTTGTTTTTTTTTTTCGGAGTGACTCCTCGGGGCTCCGACCAGTGTTGAGTAACGACAGCGTGAGCTTCTGCTGAACGCTGTAACATTGAGCGCTCGCACTTGTGCCCTGTGATCACTATGCCGCCGTGCCGCCTGTCTGCGGCTGCGTACATCTTTCTCTAGCAGACAGACAGACAGACAGGAAAACAGACGGAAAGACAGACGACCGTCGGTTCTGTCATAAACGGGGAAAGACGCGCGTTAGTATGATCTTGACTCGCTGCACCGCCGCTTCCCGCTCCCCTCCAGTGCGGACACCACCACAACAACACCAACACACTGTACGGGGCTTTTCTCCATGGCATGTCTTTGATCTCCAGGGCAGTCCGGCCGGTCGCTCTATCCCCCAATAAGGCGTTGTGGGAACATTTGAGGGCCACTAAGGCTTCGCGTGTATGTACCGGTGTGTGTGTGTGAGAGAGAGAGGAGGGGGGGAGGGGGGAAGAACATCAGCGAAAATAGAGAACGAAGCAGACTGACAAACGGAGAGCGGATATGGAGTCCATCTCCGAAATCCTGCTGATGGGTCCGCCATTAGCGCGTCCCGGACCCAGAGCCACTCTGCGGGTATCGACTGCGCGCTCCGTAGTGTAGCGCCCAAGGCAGACCCGTTCCACCTAATGGCTTCGCCGAAATCAGGAAATCCACCAATCGGTCAATGTCACCCGTCTGTTCCAGCACCAATACACCACAAAAAAAAAATTGTAGAAAAAAGACCAAGTGTTTCTGAAAAAAAAATGAAAGGAAGCTGAGTTCCAAAAATATAACTATTTCACTAAATATAACGTTTGCGCGCGCCTTTCTCGACGGCCTATGTCTCGCCGAAATAATTAGTCCACCTCGCCAGCCAATCCTGCACGGCACGGCACTATCGTTCCGGCCTTCACTCGCTTTGTTTCCGGAGGCTCCTTTCACTCTCCACTGCCTTGGTGTGTGTGCGTGCGCGCGCGCGCGCTTGTGTGTGTGTGTGTGTGTGTGTGTGTGTGTCCGCACTCAATTGGCGCCTTAATGTGACACGTCATTGAGACACGGACCCTGCCATCAAACTGTGGTGGCAACACAATGTCCCCCGCGAGCTACGAACGGCTTCAGACAAGCATCACAACAAGGAACTGAAATAAAAATTATTTTGTGAAAATTGATTCATAATATTTTGCCTTTCAGCGAACATTTCATGCGCCCAAAACGAGGAAAGAAACACTTTTTTTTTCAGTGCGCCTGCGGTGTGAATAAAGCACCAGCGCTATGCTTCCTGTTGCGGATTTAACTGCACTTTACTGAAAAATAACGCCTCTGACTTTGTTATTGTTACGAGGCGCGTCTGAGGCCGAGGCAGGCCAAGGGCAGCCAAGGGCTCGGCCGAGGACGCGTGCAATAATTACGTACTGGACGCACAAATGGCCGGAATGAATGGCAGTGCAGTTGCAGCGTTGCAGTGCGTTGCAGTGCGGCCCACAATGGCTGGCAAAATACAACACACTGTTAACAAAAAACAACTAGCTTAGAAATTTCCAAAACAACTCATTGGGGAAAATGGTTTTGGTCTACGTAAAATTTCAAAACCTTCAATGTTTCCAATTTCTTATACAGCACCAAAAAAATATATTAAAAAAAGAAGTCCCCGGGATTTTCGCCTATTTATTTCTAACAGTGTAGTGATGTGTGTGTGGCAGGGGCGTAACCGCCGTGTCATCTCCATCGTCGCACTCAGGAAAGGTTTGAAACTTTGAGCAAATTTGCCGAGCGATTGCGCCAATCCTTATCGACTTGATAAAGAAAATAAAAAAAAAAAGTTTCCCGAGTGTGCACATTGGCGAGGCGCGAGCGCATACCACAGATCCTTCCTGTGCCTTCCGGTCGCGCCTTCATGACCCTGCACTGTGAAAACAGGCAGCCCGAAACGGCAAAGCGCGGCAAAAGCGCCACACGCATGCAAAAGAGTGCGCGCGGCTCGCGGGGAGGACAATAAACCGTTGAGTTATTATTGACTCAGGTGACAGGCGTCACCACGCGGTCTCGAAAATAGAACACACACGCACGCGCGCGCGCGCGCACACACACACACACACACACACACACACACACACACACACACACACACACACACACACACACACACACACACACACACACTTGCAGCGGACTGACGCACGCTCTGACGCCGGATAACCTAACCTTGATGGGACACCGCCTACGGCGCCTACGGCGAATCTGGACCGTCGCTGGCATTACTGCGTGAGCGCGATAAGTTGGATGTCAACTCCCTCGGAACATTTTCCATTCATTTTATTTTTTTTTTATAAGAAACTGGACGTTAATCTGCTTAAAACATGTTCTTTTATTTTCATTTTTTTTTTAAATTTGACCAACCTT